ATAAAATTAATAATAATAATAAAAGTAAAGGTTTCTTCAGGTCCTGATATTCAAGGCCAGGATGATGACAGGAGACCTGGTGGTCTGGTGCCCTTCTCCTTTCACCGTGTGCTAGTGCTAGGTGTAGCCTGAGACGGAATGGGCCAGCTGTCAAGGGAGCTGAACAGACAGTGAGGGAATTGAGAAACAGTCACTGGGTTTGCCCCAGCTGAGGAACTCTTCAAACTGCAAGTTCCATGATGGCATAGATTTGTTTGCCTCTTTGTTCACGCCTATGTCCACCTGGAGTTCTAGCACAGTGCCTGGCACATAGTAAGTGCTCAATAAACATTTGTGGAATGAGTGATTGACCCTAAGCACTGAACTTGCAGAGTCCAGAGATTGGCTCAGGGAGCATGTCCTTTGTCACATGTGGCACAACTCTGTGGCACCAGCCCCCTGGCAGGATTAGAACCCTTCACTAATAATCCAATGGAATCAGCTTGGACCCCACTTGGTGAATTCTGCTGTATTGCTGCCTCATGCTCTAGTCCCAAAATGACCTTTAAAACCTATCTCCGTCACTGCACTGCTCAAAATCCTTCAGTGGCTCTCTGCTCTTCCCAGATAAAATAAAGCTACATTTTTGTTGCATGTGACAAGGTGTGAACTATCTTCATTTCTTTTCCATTTGAGAGCTCATGTTTTGCAGCAGGAAATTTGTAGCCAAAGCTGGTCTGACCAGACCCCTGATACAGTGAGGGTATTGGATTGCGTCCTATACTCATTGCTATGATTTGAATGTTTTGTCTTCTCCAAAATCATGTTGAAACTTAATCCCCAATGCAACAGTTTTGGGAGGTGAGGCTCCACCCTCATGACTAGATTAATGCCACTATGAAAAGTGTTTGCACGAGTGGATTCACTCTCTTCTGCTCGTCTGCCGTGTGAGGACACAGAGTTCACCCCTCTCTTGCCCTTCCACCTTCTGCCATGTGAAGATGCAGTAAGAAGACCCACACCAGGTACCAGCATATTGATCTTGGACTTTCCAGCCTCTAGAACTGTAAAAGGATACATTTCTGTTCTTTACAAATTGCTCAGTTTCAGACATTCTGTTAGAACAGCAGAAAATGAACTAAGACACTCAATCTCAAGTTCTTCCTTTTGCTCTCTAATCTGGGCCTCCAAATCCTCCATCCTATGCCCACCAAGTCCCCAAGTTATCCCACCTTGAGCATTGACTCCCTTGCTATGCATTATACACCTTGATATAGTTTGAATATTTGTCCCTCCCCTGAAAATCTCATGTTGAAATGTAATCCCCAATGTTGGGGGTGGAGCTAGTGGAAGGTGTTTGTGTCATGGGGGTGGAAGCCTCATGAATGGTGTGGTGCCCTCCCCATGGTAATGAGTTACCACAAGGTCTGGTTGTTTTAAAAGAGCCTGGCACCTCCTCCCCACTCTCTCTTGCTCCATCTTGTAACACGCCTGCTCCCCTTTCACCTTCTGCCACGATTGGAAGCTTCCTGAGGCCCTCCCCAGGAACAGATGCTGGCGCCATTCCTCCTGTATAGCCTCCAGAATTGTAAGCCAAAATAAACCTCTTTTATTTATAAATTACCCAACCTTGGGTATTGCTTTATAGCAATGCAAAATGGACTAACACACACCTCTCATACTATTAATAGGTCATCCAAAGAGCTTCTCCCCTGGGGCACAAGTCCGCATACTCAGCAGTCTCCTTGAGGCTGTTGGCTCATCCATCAACCTTCTGAACCTCTGTTTTCTCATTTGTACAAAAAGCTGAAGTTATTTCCTGGATATCCCTTTTCAAGATCCTTCAAAACTGCTGACACTTCTCACACTTCTGTACCCTCATCCCAGCCCTGGAAATTCTGTTCCAATCTTATTGAACTGCATGTAAACCCCAGAGCTCACCATCACCTTACCAACCTTCAGGCCTTTGTCCTTCTGCTCCCTCAGCCCAGCACACCCTTTCCTTCCCCTTACCCCAACTTTCAAGACTCCACTCAAAGATCAGCCCCCTAGGAAAACTTTCTTCCACTTCTCCCTCCTCAGGTGGAACTTTCCCTACCCTCCTCTTCACCCCAGCCATTTTCCATGCACAAATTACACCCCTGTGACATCCAGAGCATTTTCTTACACGTGCTTGCTAATCCACAAGTCTCTGCCTTCCAGACATCAATCAGCACCCTGAGAGCAGAATCTTCAGTGTTCTGTCTTTGTAAAGCAAAGAGATAAAATCAGAAGAGTTCGAGAGTTGGAGTCCAGTGGCTTCAGGTTGAATTCTGGCCCTACCCCACAAACATTCTGATCTTAGGAGAATCATGACTATCCCTGTGCTAGATTATATTATTGGCCCCAACTCTTTATTCCCTCCTTTGTTTGTGTTCTTTGCCATGTGACTTTGCAATTTATCCCACTAACGGAGCAGAGTATATTTCCCTGCCATTTGACTTTGGGTTTGGGCATAAGACTTGCTTTAGACAACAGAATGAGGAGGAAGTGACAGGATGCCTGTTTCAAAAGATGTATTGCAGGCTTTAATCCATTCTCTTGCACTCCTGGCTTAAGAAGAACATTCTCAGGCCAGCCTTCTGCTCTCAAGAGGTTCAGAAGCATGTGGAGCTGAGCCGCCTCAACCAAGCTCCCCATGCAGAGCCCAGCCTTGATTAACCAGCCCTGAGCCAACTTGCAAATTTGTGAGCAAGAATAAGTGATGGCTGCTGTGAACCACTGGATTTAGGGGTGGTTTGTTACTCGGCAATAGTTGACTGATACACTCTCTTCAACTCAGTGTCTTCATCTGAGGGATGATAAGTTCCTTGAGGTGCTATCATAGGATTAGATTACATTCTGAATAAAGTATAAAACTCAATGTCTGACTCATCATAAGTGCTGACAAATGGCAGCTATTGGTTCCCTGAAAATTTCAACATAGATTTATGCTATGACCCAGAATGTCTGCTTCTAGGTATATACACAAAAGAATTGGAAACAGTCATTCAAACAGATACTTGTACACAAATGTCCAGAGCAGTATTATTCATAATAGCTAAAAGGTGCAAACGACCCAAGTGTCCATTGACGGACAAATGGGTGAATAAAATATGATATATCCATATGATTAAATATTATTAAGACATAAAAAGAATGATGTCCTGGTATATGCTACATCGTGGTTGAACCTTGAAAATATTATGCTAAGTGAAATAAGCCAGACACAAAAGATAAATACTGTATGATTCCACTTATCTGAAATATCCAGAATAGGCAAATTTGCAGAGATAGAATGCAAATTGGAGGTTACCAGGGACTAGGGGGTAAGGAGGAACGGGGAATTATTGCTTACTGGGTACAGAGTTTCTGTTTGGGGTGAAGATTTGGAAACAGATAGTGCTGAGGGTTGCACAACATCGTGAATGTAATTGATGCCACTACATTGTACACTTAAAAATGGTTAAAATGGTGACATTCCTGTTATATGGATTTTACCACATTTTAAAAATGGTACTTAGGTGTTCAAGACAATCCTGGATGACATAGGAAGACCCCATCTCTATAAAAGATAAAAAATGAAAAAAAAAAATAGCCGGGTATAGAGGTTTGCCCCTGTAGTCCTGACTACTTGGGAGGCTGAGGTGGGAGGATTGCTTGAGCCTGGGAGTTCCAGCCTGCAGTGAGTCATAATTGCACCACTGCACTCTAGTCTGGGTGACAGAGTGAGACATTGATTCAAAAGAAAAAGGCAGTTACTGTATTTATCTGTTCAGCAACTGTACATAATAAATGCTGAGTAAAAGTCTGTTGAATGTTGCTGAAATAAATGAAATGACCATTGGATGGGTAGATGCGCAAATAACCAAAGAGTTAAATAAATGACTCAGTTAATGGTGAGCAAGTGAAGAAACCATATAAGCTCTTTACCATGGCCACCTACTTAGAAGATGTACAACAACCAGGACATGGGACCATACAGTCTTATGTAGAATTAACTATATTGAGAGCAATAAGTATAAAAATCACACAAAGCAGAAAAGGCAACCTAGGGCATCCATGTAGACCTGCAGTCCCAGGAGGGCAGAAAGCAGGTCTGAGATGACAGGGCACAAGGACAGTGGCCCAGCAGGGGACGCCAGAGGCTCCAGCAGTGGAAAGAAACACATGGTTGCTACAATGAGGTGGAAATGAGAGCGGGCTGCAGGTGCAGGGCTGCTACCTGCAGAGTAACATGTGTTACCAGGTTGATCTTGCCCCTTGGGGAGTCTGGGGAAAACCCAGGTTCTAGAAACCAGAAACAGTGATGATGAATAGAAACCCTTGTGCAAGCACAACACTTTAAAATGTAGACACCACTTTCCCGGGGATCAGCTGACTCAGTCCTCACAACCACCTTGTGAAGGTTTATCTTACTATTTCTAATAGGCGAAGAACATAAGGCTCAGATGGGTGACAGAATATGTCCAAGGTTACCTGGTGCACAGGAGGCAGGGAGCCACCTCCCAGGGACTGGCTTTATTGGTTCCAGTGAGAATTCCATTGGCCCCATTGAGAACTTCATTGGCCCCAATGCTGCCCAATGAGCCCACACAAGGCAGGGGTGGAACTTGAACCCAGGTGACTTCACCCCCATATCCTATGCTCCTTCAAACACACCCTAGGAGAAAACCTTCCAGCAGCGCTAGGGTTTGAATGTGTGTCTCCGAAACTCGTGTTGACATTTAACTGCTGTTGGAACAGTGGAGAGAGATGGGACCTTTGGGAGGTGGATGGGTCACGAGGGTTCTGCCCTCATGAGTGGGATCGATGCCATTATAAAGGATGAGTTTGGCTCTCTTTTGCCTCTTTTTTGCCTTCTGCCATGTGAAGATGAAGTGTTTTGTTCCTCCCCTTTGGAGGATGCAGCATTCCAGGCACTATCTTGGAATCAGAATCTCCAAGTCTGCCAGCACCTTGATTTTGTACCTCTCAGTCTCCAGAGCTGTGAGCAATAAATTTCTGCATGTAAGTTACTTAGTCTCAGGTATTCTCTGATACCAGCTCAAATAGACTAAGACAAGTGGGGAAAAGCAGAAATCTCTCCCCTGGTGTGTTGATCTTGGATTTGAATCACAGCCTTGGTTGCTGGCTAGTTCTCCAATTTGGGGAAGCTCACTTGAACCTGTGTTCTGATCTGTAGAATGGGAATAAATGAACCTGCATTATCATATTGTCCTAAGGACGTGAGGTAAAGCAGGCAGGAGTGTTTAGTACAGCATCCATCCCACAACAGGAGGTCAGTGCAGTCATGGGCACCCTTATTTGTCATCTCTTCTCTCTGGTCCCTTTCCCCCTCACCCTCCCCTCTTTGCTCCCCTTCTTTCATCTCTTCTTGGATTCTCTCTCTTGTCTCTCATTGTTCTCTTGTCTCCCCATAAACCCACACTTCCCACGTTCTTCCATCTGGTCCCTCAAAAACCCGCAGGTCCCTGTCCTAGGGAACAGCAGGTAGATGTGAAATGTTGAGTAACTCCTTCCCACAGGTCCGGGCTCCCAGGCCTGTCCATCCCCGCCATGTCCCTCTGCTCCACAGGTTCCATGCCCTTGGTCACACTGCTTTCTATCTTACATTCTTGACTTTATATGTACTTTGAATAATAACTCTCCCCACCTTGGTGAGGCCACAAATTATCACTAATCTCCAGGAGAGATTAAATGTTGTCAACAGTTGGTTTCTCGCATAGACTGGAGGATCCTGGGCTAAGGGGAAATGGATGGAGGAGGGCTGAGGTGCATGCTGATACCCAAGCCACAAGCAGGCTCTGCAGAAGCCAGCACAGCAGAGCCGGAGACACAGGAGCAGGCTCCGGAGCCCGGCCACCTGGAATGAGTCCCAGCCATGCCCCTTCTCATTTGTGTGACCTCAGAAAGGGGCATCACCTCTCCGGGCCTTAATCTTTTCATCCACTAAACGGGATAATCGTAGAACAAGATGAGAGAATGAGCATGGAGCCTGCACAGAAGGAGGGCTTTAAGCAATTATGGGAATGAAGGGAAGTGTCATTTCTCAAAGTCCATGGACCCGGGCCTGAGCCCTGCACATACTTCCTCCCCAAGCCCTACATATCTCCCCAGAGCCGTGCATTTGGGAGAGCAGATACAGAGTGCTGAGCAATTCCTCCAGGAGTACAGGGCTCTCTAGACCCAGATGTTGGGACACTTCGGGGATGGCCATTCCCCCTCTCACATCCCACCAACTCCGGTCTCCCAAGCTAGGCCCTGCTGGGTCCCAAGCCCACCCTTTGGCAGCCAAGTAGAGCTGCCCCTCAATGAAATGTGATGAATGGTGGCCCTCAGAGCCATCAGCTTCCCAACTTAACTGACACCCCACTGCTTCCTTCTTTAGGAATTCTGATTCTCCCTTCACAGACTGTCATAAAACCAGGCTAGAAGGCTTCCTTCCAACACCCACAGAGATGATTCAGCCAAAATGTTCATGAGCAAATATTACAGGGAAACGACCCCAAAGGGGAAAGTTCCCCCAAAGACCTACACGTTATTCTTCACTCAGTGCTTCATTTTTGGAGACAAAAGAAACCCTACCGTTCATCTGCTCCACAATGCAGGTGAGTGAACCAGGACAGGGCATTCGCAGCAGGGAACGTTTATTGAGCACTCTCTGTATACCCTGCACCGCACCAGCCAACTCCGGCACATCTCATTTCATCCTCGCACCGTCTGTGAGGCAGGGCTGCTGCTAATCCCATGGCACTGGAGGAAACTGAAGCTCAAGGTGGTGGAGCCACTCCCACCTGTGGGAAAATCCAGAGTCACACAGTCACAAGAAGAGCCCAGACCTGCCTGGCTTCAAAACAGGTGGTGAGCTCCCCATTGCTGGAGGTATCCAAGAGTCTGCAGAGGGACTTCAAGTATTCAGGAAGGGGGAGACTCCAAGATCAGTGCCCCATGGATAGGCTCCATCTTCAACAGGGTTTCTCAATATTGGTGCTATTGAGATTGTGGACTGGATAATTCATTGCTGTAGAGAAGATTGTCCTGTGCATTGTGGGATGTTGAGCAGTATCCCTGGCCTCTGCCCAGCAGATGCAGGTAGCACCTCCTCAATCACGGCAACCAAAAACATCTCAAGACATTGCCAAAGGTCCCCTGGGGCGAGGGGGACAAAATCACCATTTGAGAACCACTGTTCTACAAGGATTTTTGAAAAAGCCAGCAGACATCCACGGGGACACGCGCTGACAATGCAGGGAGGAGAAGTTTTACACCCCTGCAGTACCTTCTAGGGAGACAGTTGTGCACCGCAGCAGCCCTTATATCATGGCAGAGATGCTGTATATCTGCTCCTCTGTCAGCATCCCAAAGGACCAGGAGGAATACTCCTGCACATTTAGAAAAGAAAGAGAGAGGAGACCCATGACCCAAAAATACGACATTGGAATTGAGGCACAATTTGACCTAAATGCAATAAAATTGTGCCATTAGTACCAGACCAGCAAGCACTACCCAACCCACTGATAACGCTGAGCTGCCACTAGACCTCAGTAAGCCTTGATATATTTTAGCCTTGATTTAAAATGGAAGAATCTGCAGGTCAGACCTGAAAAGATCCTTAGAAAGTAGAGATCTGCTCTCTGGTCCTGTGCTGTGAGTGTGTTGTGCGGTGTGAGGGTGGGGGCAGGTGGCAGGGGGAGCGGTGCTGGCCATCTGTGTCCGGCATCTTTTTTTTGTGCCCCTCATACAACCCCCAGATTGCCTCTCCACCCTTCTCCCCATGTGGACTTCAGTGGACTGTCTTGCCCTCCACCTTCTGATTTGGTTCTGCCAACTGGAGGCCCAGAAGGAAATCAGGGGCAGGGTAGATGGAGTCAGGGTCCTTGTTCCCCCTGCTCCTGCCGGCCAGTCTCTGAGGATTGGCTGCATCCCTTCACTGAAGGTCTCAGCCAAGGATCTTTCCTCCCTCGGCACCTTCTCCCCTTAACTCTTAACCTTCCCTCATCTGGTTAGGAATGATGATGGCGCCCGCTGACGCTAGACCCCAATTATACCCTCCTGTGTAGGTTCCCGACACTCTCCCCACACCTTTGTAAACAGTTCCTTTACTAAACTGTCCTCAAATTATCCCAATTATGTATGCATCATGTGTTTCCTGCTGAGCCCTGACTGATAGATAAACCAAGTGGTTCTTTGTTCAAACAAAATTGTATGCAAAAACTCAGCAGATACAACAGATCAGAGCGGAGCTCCTGCGTCCATTCACGTGGATTTATTATGTGTCAGCCCTTAGCCAGAGTCTCTGGGCTGGGGCTGAGGACACACTAGTGAGTGAGAACAGTGAGGTCCTTACTGGCTGGAGTATACAGTCTTGCAGGTGGCAAAGGTGGAGCAGGCAACCTGAGCTCCTTGGTCCCCGACACTGTCTTTGTGGGGCCTTATTTAATAACCACAGAATGTCATGTTAAGGCCTGTGATCCAGTTCCCTTGTCCTACTCCCATTTTTCAGACAGGAAAGCTGAGGCCTAGAGGAGGAAAGGGAATTGCCCAATATTTAAGACAGTCTACCTTCTGGAAGTTAATGGAATCTTGCCTTTTTTTTTTTTTTTTTAACGGATTCTCACTCTGTTGCCAGGCTGGAGTGCAATAGCACGATCTTGGCTCACGGCAACCTCCGCCTCCCAGGTTCAAGCAATTCTCCTGCCTCAGCCTCCTGAGTAGCTGGGACTACAGGTGTGCGCCACCACACCCAGCTAATTTTTGTATTTTTAATAGAGATGGGGTTTCACCATGTTGGCCAGGATGGTCTCAATCTCTTGACCTCGTGATCTGCCCGCCTCAGCCTCCCAAAGTGCTGGGATTACAGATGTGAGCCACCACACCCAACTGGAACCCTGCCTTCTTAGTTTGGAGTGATGGCTAATATTTGGTGAGTTGTCAGTGTGTGCTGGACCCTTGACTACATATGGGTCACAGTTTAATCCCCTAATGACTCTCTGAAGTGGGAAGGAGTATTATCCCTACCTTATAGACAAGGCTTGGAGAGATGAAGTGACTTGTCCAGAATCACGGAGCGAGCTAGAGCCAGAGCTGGATGGAACCCAGGAAATCTATGGAGGAGGGAGAGGGGCTATGAAAAATGTCACCCTCAGAAAAGCATCTGAGTGTGTGATTTTTTTAATCATCTTGCAACCATAAGGAAAATTCTTGGTGCCTAAATCATCCCCTGAGACAGGGTAAGAGAGGGGCACAGGCATCCTGGATCCCTCAGATATCGGCTTCGTTTCAGAACATTCTTGGCTGGAATGAAAATGGCACAGAAGCCACGGTCAGTCAGGTTCACAGGAAGGGCTCAAGACACGCATGAGAGTCCCTGAGAGTGCCCACCGTGCACCCCAGCTTAAAATATATCCACCAACGTCTGAGCACCCTGCCATGATGCTTGAAATGCCACCGTAAGAGTCACTTTTGTGCAGAGCATGACATGCACTTCTCAAAGGAACACAGGAAATAGGCATAAATTACCCGGATGCAGTGACACATTAAGGGAGGGGAAGAAAGGACCGGGAGTTTTTGAGCACCTACTAGGTGCTTTCCATAGGGGAGACTCAGTAAATGGTAGTTTAATATTACATGGATCATATCTATGGAATATATCTTATTTGTCACAACAGGGCAGTGAAGAGGGCATTGCTACCTTGATATTTAGAAATGCCAGGCTCAGAGTGGTTAAGTGATTTACTCAAGGTCACACAGCTGATATTGTGCAGAGCTAGGTTGGAGCTTCAATGGCAAGCCTGCCTACTTTCCATCACCTGTGCTATCACTCAAGCTCAAGGGACCAACTTTAAGGGGTTCCAATGGGCTAGGGACAGAAAATGTGGATGTTCGAGGGGCAGTACTAATCTCGGGGGCACCATGATGTCCCTGGGTCTGTCTCCCTATAAGAATTAGCTGTGTGGGCCGGGCGCGGTGGCTCAAGCCTGTAATCCCAGCCCTTTGGGAGGCCGAGACGGGCGGATCACGAGGTCAGGAGATCGAGACCATCCTGGCTAACACGGTGAAACCCCGTCTCTACTAAAAATACAAAAAAAAACTAGCCAGGCGAGGTGGCGGCGCCTGTAGTCCCAGCTACTCCGGAGGCTGAGGCAGGAGAATGGCGTGAACCCGGGAGGCGGAGCTTGCAGTGAGCCTAGATCGGGCCACTGCACTCCAGCCTGGGCGGCAGAGCGAGAGTCCATCTCACAAAAAAAAAAAAAAAAAAAAAAAAAAATTAGCTGTGTGACCTTCCCTGAGCTGGACTTCGGTTTCTTTTCAGGTAAAAAAAAGAAGCTGCATTTGACACCCCCCTTAGCTTCCTTCTATTTCTGAAGTTCTGCGCATCACAAATTTGCTGATGGTATGCAAATTTTCATAGACTAATTTATGCAAATTCACATTGGTCCCTAGCAAGGTTCAACCCAATTGAATACTATTAACAACAGATACTTTCAAAAGGCAAAAACGCCAGGCGCAGTGGCTCACACCTATAATCCTAGGACTTGGGAGGCCGAGGAGGGTGGATCGGTTGAGCCCAGAAGTTGGAGACTAGCCTGGGCAAAATAGTGAAAGCCCATCTCTACAAAAAAATAGAAAAAATTAGCTGGGCATGGTGGCATGCACCTGTAAATCCAGATACTTGGACGGTTGATGGGGGAGGATGGCTTGAGCCATCTGGAGACTGAGGCAGCAGTGAGCCACAATTGCGCCATTGCCCTCCAGTCTGGGTGACAGAGGGAGGCCTTGCATCAAAAATAAAAGGCATCTATTTAATGGGTGCAGAAGAAAGTGCTCTCCACCTCCCATCCCTGCCTGTTCCCCACCTATGTCCCAGAACAGGGCACTCAGACTGTGGGTCTTTTTCCTTAGGATGAAGAGGTAGGAAAACAGGCAAGGCGTGAGCAACCTCTCACAGACTGTGGTGTGGACCAGCTGCTGCTGGTTACTTGGAGTTATTTGCTGCATAGGGGATGTCATCAGGGTTAAACTGGATCCCAGAGAGGGGGCCCCTGCACTCCTGTGATGCCCCAAGCCCTACCCAAGTAGAACTTGCAGACCCCTCTCCTGTCCTTGCACTCATGGGCTCCTCGCCCTGAGGCTGTTAGAAGCAGCTTGTTAAAGGCAGCAAATTTAAAAATAAAATGTTTAAAAATTTTTTAAAATAAGAGAAGCAATGTCTCTTCTCTAAACAGATCGATTCTTGCTGGGACACCTCAGTGATCTCATTGTGCTTGGCTCACCACCCTATGTTACTTACAGAGACCCGTTGGTATTTCTGAAGAACTAAAACATTCCTCCAGCCGGATCTCATTCACAAGTACAATATGATCTCCCATCATATGCTTTTAACCACAGCCTCCTCAATATCCCAACCCAAACACGGTCAGTGTAACTTGGATGGCTCCAATTCCTAGACAGGGTCATCAGACAGTGATCTCCGGAAAATTCCTCCCAGGTGGGCTGCCTGTCGGAGAATCACAAAAAGACATTTTATTTTAAATTAACCTCCACTATGATATGGGTCTACGGCATCCAAGAAGGGATAAATCAGCTGCACAAAGAACTTTAAACCAGGCACAGTGGTGCACGCCTGTAGTCCTAGCTACTCAGGAGGCAGAGGCCAGAGGATCACTTGAGGCCAGGAGATCGAGGCTGCAATGAGCCGTGATGATGCCTGTGAATAGCCACAGCATTCCAGCCTGGGGAATATAGCGAGAGTCTGTCTCTTTAAAAAAATAATTAATTAATTAATTAATTTTGAAAATTTTTAAATAAATAAGAAGAACTTTGATCCAGCCTTTAAACTGTAGGACTTGGTAGACAAGTTGGGAAGGGAGACCATGCCTGGGACCAAATAGTAGGAGCACAGGTGTGGAGGCACGACAGAGCTGGTTCTCGGTAGACTAGTGAGGAAGAGGAGCCGCCAACCCACCGGAAAAGAAAATGGCCCTTTTGGGAGTAATGGGAAATAAGGGGGTTTTGTCTGGTTTTGTTTGTTTGTTTGCAACAGAGTCTTGCTCTGTTGCCCAGGCTAGAGTGCAGTGGCACAATTGTAGCTCACTGCAGCCTCGAACTCCTGGGCTCCAGTGATCCTCCCATCTCAGCCTCCCTAGTAGCTGGGACTACCAGCACACTCCACCATGCCCAGCTAATTTTTATTTTTTGCAGAGATGAGGTCACACTATGTTGCCCAGGCTGGTCTCAAATTCCTGGGCTCAAGCAATCTTCCTGCCTTAGCCTCCCAAAGTGCTGGGATTACGGGTGTGAGCCACTGCAGCTAGCCAGAAATAAGTTTTTTAATAGATGGACTGCAGTCAGATTATCAAAGCCTTTGAAAGGCAGGCAGGTGAAGTTTATAGTTAATTTAATAGACAGGAGGGAGCCTCACAAGGTGTTCGAGCAGGGAAATAATAATGCAAGATAGAGTCGATCATCATTATTCAGGGGTTCTGTTTTTGCAAATTCACCTGCTTGGTAAAATTTCTTTCTAACCCCAAAATCACTACCCACAACTCTTCCATGAGTACTGGCAGTGTAGTGAAACAGACGAGTCCCTCACACACGTGTTTTCGGCTGCGGCTGAGCAAGGCTGTCTTTTTTCAGCTCTCATACAATTAGCTAGTCCTTTTTGCAGTCTATTTAGTTCCATCTTTTTCACATTTGTGTGTTTTGTTGATTTTGGTGATTTCGCTGTTTAAAAGGGGCCCAGGCACGGTGTTGAAGTGCTGTCTTGTGTTCCTAAACCTAAGAAAGTCATGAGGTGCCTTACAGAGAAAATGCATGCATTCGGTTAGCTTCACTCAGACATGAGTTACAGTGCTTCCAGCTGTTAGTTCAACATTTAATAACCCAACAATAAATATTAAATAAGGTATCTTTAAACAGAAACACACATAAAACTTGGTTATGTGTTGATCAGTTGACAATCTAGAAGCAATGGGTCAGTTTTCACTAATTCAGTGATCGCAGCAACTTTATAGAGCATAACTAGCACGAATAATGAGAATCGCCTATATCAGCATTTTGGACTCTAAGGAGACCACAAGACCATGAAAAGAAGCCATCTCTTAAGAGAGTGTATGCTCCAGAGTCAAACTACCTGGGTTCAAATCCCAGCTCTTCTGCTTACTAGCTGTGCCACCTTGGGTGAGTTGCTTGTCTTCTCTGTGCCACAGTATTTCATCTGTAAAACAGACACAACGATTGTCTCTTTATCATAGAGTGACTAGGAGAATTTAAACGTGTTAATGTTTGTCAAGTTCTCAGAAGATTATCTGGGACATAATGAATCCTGTTTACATGTTTTGTGTTTGTTAAATAAAGAAAAGGGAGAAGGTGAGAGAAAGAGAGAGAGAGAGCATGCACCTCATTTCACAGGTGAGGAACCTGAGTCAGGCCCACATCTGAGTCTTTCCAGCGACGAAATGGGGAGGCAGCTGGCTCTGGGGAACCCAGATCAGAGTCAGTTCAATGACGGGGATGCAAAATTGAGGTGGTGGTGACGACCACAGGGACAGGCGCTAACCCACGGTGCTGAGCAAAGGCACGGTGTGACTGAGGGACCCGCCAAGACCCATCCACCTGTGACCACCAAGGGACACTTCCTCTTACTCCCCCTTTCCAAGCCACAGCCAGATGGAACCCAGAGTGCTCTAAAGATGCACCTCTCCACCTCGCCATTTAAGAATTACTAGGCATCTCCAGGCTGTGCGGCTGAGGAGCAAGAAATACTACCGCGCCCCAGCAGAAAGCTAATGAGAAACCGAACACAGCCAGACAGAAGCTTAACAAGAAATACTGGCCCGGGCTCCCCAGAAGAAGAGCAGGCTCCGAAGGCCTGGCAGGCCGCCTGCCATCTCCCTGCAATGCATCGATCGGTGCAGGGAAAGCTGGAGACCGCGGGGAAGGAGATGAACGAGAAGATGTATGACGGGAGGGGCCCAGGGCTGATGAAAGGGGAAGGGAAGGTGGCTTAAATCAAGGGGCAAGTGCCGCGAGAGGGGCGGATAACAGGATTTGTGTTTACGGTTAACGAGGAGAATTGGTGGAGGTGCTGCTCTGGGGCAGGGGAGGTGGGTGAAGACTTGGGGAGGAAGAGGAAGAGGGGCTCCAGGGAGGGTAACCCATGCTCCAAGCAAATCACTAACATGAGCCAGGGGTAAGTCCCTGAAATGGCAAAATCCTTCCTGGTCCATTTGGCTGGAACTGCGATTGCCTTTTATCTTCTCTCCTTTGTTTCCTAACTTTCCTGAGTGTCCAGGAAAGAATATCCACATCTGTCCCTTTCTCCCACCACCAAGTCATCAGAATTCAAAGCCTGTGTCCGGACAACAGGGATAACAGGAAATGCTCACCGAGCACCTCCTCTGTGCTTCTGGCTGGGCCGAGAGCTTCCTGTGTCTTACTCCAACTAATATTCATCCCACGATGGAGGCACTGCGGTTGTTCTCATTGCACAGATAAGGAAACTGAAATTCAGAGAGGCCCTCCAATGACACAGAAGGGTGCTGAAATTCCAGCCCAGGCAGTGTGGCTCCAGTGCTAACCATGATTCCACACTGAGCCTGTTGACACCCTCAGCATTTATGCCTAATGGGAGATCGTTTGCCTGCATTTCAGGCCTTTGAACCACCTCTGATTTCTGCATCGCTGTGGCACACTGTTTCACGCAGGCTAGTAACACTCTTTGCAAGAAGCAGCCAGGAAACGACTCCACTTTTCTGCCTTAGGGACTTCTCCAAAGATGCAGAAGCAGCTCAGTTCTCCACTAGGTGCAGCCAACAAGTACAAGGCACTCACGTCCCCAGGGCTGGCCCTCTGCTAGGGGATGAGGAGTTGAGGGATAAATGCCCCCATCCCTCAGGGGGGCAATTCTGAGGCACATTCTGCAGGGGTCCTCAGAGGATGTCTGGCAGGCTAGAGTCCCAGTTTCCCCCAGTGATAACCAGCTACACATGCCCTCATAAGGTAGCCTGCTTTTCTTCCTCATCTCCCTGCTCCCTCACTCCTGCTTCCTGCGTCTCCTTCCAGCCGACTCTCCTGCATACAAGCCCTCCTCTCAGGCTCCACTGGGCGGGGATCGCAAACTAGGATAGGGCGCCACCTCAGTTAAACAAGAAATGCAAGAAATAGGACCAGTTTACCAAAGATAAACTTTGGGGAGATTGCGTGATAAGGAGATGAAAAGGGGGGGTCTCTCTCTCTCTCTCTTTCTCTCTCTCTCTGCGGTTTTACAGACACCTCTTTTAATGATTTAGCAAGATATTTCCTTGTTTTTAACACATTTCTATTAAATATAGAATATGGCATTAAGAGTGGGTATGGCGGCTCATGCCTGTAAGCCCAGCACTTTGGGATGCCGAGGTGAGTGGACCACTTGAGGCCAGGAGTTCGAGACCAGCCTGGCCAACATGGTGAAACCCCATATCTACTTAAAAAATACAAAAAATAGTTGGGCGTAGTGACGTGCACCTGTAATCCCAGCTAGCAGGGGAGGTTGAGACAGGAGAATCGCTTGAACCTGGGAGGCGAAGGTTGCAGCGAGCTGAGATCCAACCTGGGCGACAGAGCAAGACTCAACTCAAAAAAAAAAAAAAAAAAAGAATATAGCATTAAAATGGGAGTATTTGGGCCTCTATTGAGGTAGTCTGAATTTATATATAATTTAGAATAGGATAAAAACAGAGTAATAATTTTAACTTCACTTTGTTACAATGATATGGTTTCTCTTATTCTCTCCAATTTTATTCCTCTATCGAGAACTTCAGAACTTTGGTCAACGCTTTTTCCCCATCCAGAGAAGTGCTGGGGGAAATGTGTCTGTCTTTCTTTGCACCCTTGACTTTTTCCTAATTCTGCTAATGACAGCCTGACTCCCATGAACCCTGACATCCAGTTGGTGGCATCGCCAGTCCTCAAAAGCCAGAAACCACCTCTACAGAGGTGACTCCATGTTAAAACAGAGCAAGACTCCATCTTAAAAAGAAAAAAAAAGTGTATATATATATATATACACACACACACACACACACACACATATATACACACACACACTTTTTATATATATATGTATATATGTGTGTGTGTGTGTGTGTATATATAGCTACAAGAGGAACCAGAGTAGATTTGTTGAGTACAGATACAGAAGAGCCACATTCACCTCCAGATTTGCTCAAAACTGCACAGCAAATATACGACCAAGTCTCTAGGAGCCCGTCTGAGCCTCAGTTTTCACATCTTTGAAAAAGAGATAATACTATTCACCTCAGTGAGTTGTCGTTGAGATCAGTAATCATAAACACTGTTTGAGTGCAGACCCCATTCAAAATTTGATTTTACAAATATTCTACAAATGAAAATGACTACTGGTCCTACTAGTAGAAGTAATAGTGATAGTGGTAGCAATAAAAGTAGTAACTGTAGAGATGAAAATAGTAATCATAGCAATAGTACTCATTGAAACAATAGTAGTAGTAATAGTAGTATTTAGTAAGAGTAGTAGTTGCAGTAGTATCAGGTGGGTGCAAAAGTAATTGTAGTTTCTGTCATTACTTTTAATGGCAAAAACCACGATGACTTTTACACCAACCTAACAGTAGCAAGCAAGATAGTGCTATTGTGGTATTAATACCACATGATATTAATAGTACTAGTAATGGCAGTAGTAACAGAAGTAGTATTAGTAGTGATAATAATATGGCAGTAGTAGCAGAAATAGTAGCAACAGTAGTACTGGTAAAAATAATAGTGACAGTAGTAATTGCAATTAGTGCTAGTAGGAATGGTAGTTGATGTAGCAATAGCAGTCATAATAAATAGTAAGAGTTATAATAGCAATTTTTAGTAGTAGTGTCAATAGTAGTAGTAATAGTGAACAAAAGATTCAAATGCAATAATTTACTAAGGAAGTGCTCCCGGGAAAATCAGTAAGAGAGTGAGATAAGCAGGACAGGAAACAAAAAAACACTAAGTAAGGATCAGCCTCAGCCTGGTCCTGCAGGGAACCCAGGAACATAAATTGCACATTAGAGTTTGACTTTCCTTGAAGCAGAGGTTAGGCCCCCACGTCTCACACTAGTCAGTCAACAGCCCTGGGTATCCCAGGGGGCTGTAAACTCCAAGGCACCTGCCAGCCATAAGCAGAAAAGCAAACCAGAGCAGAGAGATGGGTATGTGGCCCTGGTAAAGGCGATAGGAGCAGATCTAGGTGGACTCCAACATGACTGTGCTACTAAAATGTCAGAGGAATTTAATGCACAATAGACATTGGTATTGCGGGAGAACCTACCTTGAAGGAGATTACAATTTAGAAAGACTGCACGTGTGCACACAAACACACACATGGACTAACGGCAATCCAGGTTCACTGAGGCCACCATACAAGATCACATACACACTGGTAGACTCATTCTCTCATAAGGATGACAATTACAATCATAGTTAACATTTATTGGGTACCTACTATGTATTAGGCACCGTACAATGTACTGTATCATCTCATCAATTCTTCTCCTAGATGGAAAAACTGAGGTTCAAGAGGGTAAGTAACTTGTCCAAGCTCGTGCACCTAAGAAGCAGAAGAGCTGGCTTCAGACTCAGGAATACTGTGCTCAGAACCTGTCTTCCTAAGCACCAGCCAGCTCCCCAGGCCCCCCAGATACACCCATGTGTACACATATGGAGACTTCCACCAAGGAGCACATGTCTAACAAGATGATAGTCGGGGCCTCAAGAATTCAGAAGAGCAAGTCCTCACTAAAATAGGGAGAGGAATACAGAAGGATTCTCGGAAGAGGTGACATATAATAGTAATTTTTATAAGTGGTGTGAATAGCAGTAGTAATAGTAAGCAAAGATTCAAGTGCGATAATTTACTAAGGAAGTACTCCCAGGAAATTAGTAAGATTTGGGCTTTGAAGGATGTGTAGGAGCTTTGAAGGATGGGCCTGGGCTTTGAAGGATGTATAGCAGTCTGGACAAGCAGAAATAAGGAGACAGAGCTAGGGGTGGAAGGAGGGGAAGAGAGAAGGAAATTGAAGGTGCCAAATAGATAAAAATATGGACTCTGTGTGTGACCTCAGGTAAGTGGCTTAACTCTTCTGAGTCTCAATTTCCCTTTTGTGTAAAATGGGGAGGAAAGTAGATACCACCTTCCCAGACCTGCTGTGAGGATTCAATAAGCTA